AAAAAATAATATCGATATATCGATGTATCGATATTTTTTCGACGAGCCTAGTGCAGAGTCTGCTATTTCTTCTTAAGAATTGTGTATGCAATACTTTCGAGGCTAAATCGTCATCATTATTAGTAATAATAATATAGTAATAATTTATTACTCTCTGGTTAGTCTACTTTCAACATTTTCATAATATCTTGAACACCAAAGTTTAAAATATGGACAAAACAACGAAAATTTTGATTTATATGATCGAACAATTGATCATTTTTTGCCATCAAAATATTTAATTCCCTCATGAATGCAGTGTATGCCACTACTTTATTAACGGTTATTACTTGAATTTTATTCTATAATCCGTATTTTTTAATGCATAAAAAAACTTCCGCGATATCTTTTCTTCTATGCCGACCACAAGAAGGAATAAGATCTAAAGCTACAGATTTTGTTAATAGTTACGCTGTAAAATGATCTGAAGTTTTTCGAATTGTTCAAAATTTCCTTGACTCTCGTTGCATGTGAAAATGCTCCATCATCATTCGCCGAGCGCAATTATGTCGATGTACCTTGATATGGAATTTTAAAAGAGCTTTAATCCCACACTATCATCTTCTTTTCCTTTAGAATCACCATACAAACCAAACCATGCAAATTTTACACCCCACAACAGACAATAAACTTATGTAAACATATGAGTTATAAGTACAAAAAAAGTAAGACCTTTAACCAAGATTATTTTTAAATTTATGCATGCTATATTGAATATAGCATGAATATATAGTATATTCGTTCTGTTGGTTGCTCTCTTATTTTATTTTTAAAAAGCCTTAAAATCACTGTGGTCACGGCGACGCCCAAAAAAAAATATTTAAGTAGGTAAATCACGCAGCACTCTTTCAGTAAATAGGTACCTACATATCTACCTATGAGGTAGGGGAAGTACGTACAAAATATACGTTTTGGTTTTGGGTCATAACTCTTTAATAGTAAATCACAGCGCATTCATATTGCACACCAATAATCTTAGGTTTCATATCTTTGAATTATAATAAATATTTAAAAGATAAACAAATTAGAAAAAATAATAATTTTAAATTGGCACTGGCACTGGTATAATCATTATCAGTATCAACAGTTCGGATTACAATATTTTCTCCATAGTCGATTTTACACACATGGTATATTATTTTGGTATCAGCTTCTTTATGATTTAAGCAAGCAGTTCTTCAATGATACTTGTCATAATTTTGTTGGCTTCATTCATTGTATAGAATTGACACTTTTTGAAATTAATATGTTGTAATTTTGATACCAATAAATGGCGGCATTTCATCAATAGCCCAAAATGAAATGAAAAATCAACTAAAGCTTTTTAGATTAGAATTTCTCTACTCTTTAGGGAAATCACTCGGACTAACTTGTTCAAGAACAAATTTAAGTGCACTTTGATTTTGCAGATTCGAATCGTTGAGAATGTTAAGTATTCCTTGGGGCAAATTTATACTTTTCCATTAGCTGGCCAAGTAGCTCAAAGAATATGCTTATTTCAGTTTTATTAAAAGCTGTGATTCGATTTATGCTGGTTGCTTTTGGTTTCCTAATCGAGAGGTTATTACTCGCTGACTCCCATTACTCTACTCTCCCCTATGTACCAAAAAGAGCCGTCAATTATTAAAATAGAACGATCAAACGAACTTGCCTTTACGTGAAGTTCGATCGTTATTATATAGGAATGTCGCTCGAGATGATTACATTAGCAGCTGTTTTGAGATGAGAAAAAACAAAAAATAAAGATAAAAGAGTACCAAGATCTAGCTTCTTTAGATCTTCTGTATTCTTTTGCTTACTCTTACTTAAGAAACACGGTTATTATATAAATAAGTTATTCTACTTTTTCTTCCTTGTGAGGATAGCTTTTACATATTCCTTATTATCTGTGACAATTGTGCGATTATAAAACCTCGCAAACATTTGTGAGTAGGTTAAGTTGAAGAAAATGTATAAATTTATTATAAATTTTATATAATTTAATTGCAAAATACAAATATAAATTTTTCATTTCTAAGATGAACATGTTCAAAATTATTTTAACAAAATTAATAATCCAGAATTGTATGATAAATCTCAAAACAATCCGGCACATGCAGAGGTATTTTACATTTCTTGCACTCCCAAGTCGTTTCGCTATGTTTCTTCTTTTTTGTGCACACTTTACACTGTCGTGTTGGATGTTCTTTATTAGTTGTGGGATCAATGTATTTCGGGAAATGAGCCCATGCTTTTGCGTGCAGTCGTGATGGAAGTTCGCCACTCGCCGGATGTGTTTTCATCTTGTGGTCTATCGGATTTTGTTGCAATAGCATTTCCGCAACGTCTAGTTGTAATTCTGTGTAGTTCTGTTTTTTCCGGTAATTTTATTGAACAGAATATACGTGTTGAAAAGTCAAATATGTAAAAGAACATTTTTCTGTATCCTTTCACGTACTTCCGCATGATTGGAAAGCAAGCCAACATTGATCTTGCTGATCAATACCAATCATGCCTTTGTTGTAATCTATTACACATTGCGGTTTATAATTTTGGCCCTTCTTGTTCTTATTAACTTGCACCATTTCAACCGATGTGTGTTACGTGGATAAAATGTGCACATCGCGCTTATCTTTCCATTTAAGAGCAAAAATGCCATTGCAACTTCTTAATTGGTATTTGCCTTTTTTTAAACTTTGTTTTAGCAAAAATTGTGGGCATATTGGCTCTGTTCATTCGAACGATTCCCACAACATGCGTTTTTTGTTCCGTTAAATGTAGGAATAACTTGGGCGACGAATACCAATTATCCAAATAGAGAGTATTTATTCAAAATTGGTTTGGCTAGCTCCATCACAACCATTTCTGATGCACCAAAACATGAACTTGTCTTGTCTTTCCCGGAATAGATTTTAAATTTATAGCAGTAACCAGATTTGAAAAATTTGATTCCATACCTTGTCCGTTTGGATGGATTTTATTGTCTGTATGGTAATCGTCCTTTAATTGTTGATTTTACGCAATTTATCCGTCATGTCGCTGGTGGTGTTATCCGCAAAATGAAAAAATCTAGTGATTTGTAGGAATCTGTTGAGTGGCATACTTTTTTTAAAAATTGGAGTGTCCACGAAGGCTCGTTTCTCACGCATTATCACGCACAATGATAAATAAACTTTAATTTCATTGCAACTAACAGGCTTCCAATTGCAGTCAATTTTTTTCATCGTGTTCTTATTAAAAATTGTTTGTTCTGCATACCTGTTAGTTTCGGTTACGATGTTCTGCCAAAACTCGTCGTCAAACATAATATTAATTAGTTTTAGCATTATGTTTGAAGTGCCAATCGATTCCAAAAATTCTTTGCGGATGCCGGGTCTCTCGGTGTATTCAATAGTCGTTGGCGTGTTGATTTCTGGTTTCCAATCCCATCGCTTTGGCGTTGGACGAATTGTACTACCATCTTCTTCATCCGTTGACTCTTGAATTATAAACTTCTTCGGACGCTTGGGAATTGGGAAATCGCTATCATTCGTATCAGTGCCGAGCAATGCTCGGTAGATGGCTTAGTATCTGACTTTCTTGGGAACCCCTAGAGCACGGAGTACCTGTTCATCTAGATCTGATTTCTTAGTCTCTTCATTCTGCTTTTTCTTTGTTGCCAGATTTACTGGGATCTCACTAGTATTCTTTGGCCCTTCATTTACATTGCTATCAGATGATGTTTTCTGATGTTTTCAGTATCTAGAAAATTAAGAATACAACTAAGTATGTCTTTTGGAGTAGATCCTCTACACGAATATGTATACATATATTTGCACTTTGTGTATATGGGCCTTTCTCTACTAGTTGTCCATGTTTTCACTTTCAGAGTCTGTGTAAATATTATTTTCGTTGAGTGTACTTGTTCTTGTACTCTAACACTCCTAAATTGAAATGCTGGCACTCGTTTTCACTAGTGCAACTTATACTTTTCATTATGAGTTTAGCGGATTTTGGTGTTGATTCCAGAGGACTTCTTAATATTTCAGCCTTTACTTGATGTATTTTTAGAGTGCCCTTAAAGCTTTTTAAATTAACTGTGTCATTTTCAAGGTGGTCTGTCAATTCTTGGATGGCTTGAAAAGCAGAAAGTTTGTCGCGAGTCTAAACGATTCCTGTAATTTTTTGGCTAATTTGTATATGGGACAATTAATACAACTGACTACTGGTCGAACCGGATTATTTTCTATATGTAATTTAATTAATCCCCAAAGACATAGTCTCGGTATCATTGGGTTCATATGTATTAATCTAAACTTGATGTTGTCTCCTAATACTATTGATTAATTTCTTGCGGATTTGACTATTTTTTTTATTTTTGTGCATGGATCTCTGAATACTTTAACAACATCAAGGGTCTGGAGGCAATTATCTATTTTATTCATATAATCATTTACCGGGATACAAACTAGTGCGTTGCCTTTGCCAGTTTTGGTAAAAACGAGGTTGAAGTCCTCGGCAATGTCTCTAATATTTTCTATGGTTTTCTTCTCTCCTATGTTAGTTGTTGACGGACTAATTTTCCAGATTGAATTTGCAATCATGTGTTTATGGGTTGGTGAATCCGGAATTTGGGACGTCGAAAATGCTGCTTCTACACTGGCTCCTATTAACTGTTTCGTGGGCCCCTGGGGGTAAAGTGGGCCCCCTGAAATTCAGGAGGCTTAAAAAATTGAAGGGCAAAGTAGGCCCCCTAAAATTTTTAATAATTAATAGAGGGGAAAATAACTCACATATTTTTTTTATTGATATTCATTATTTATTTTACTTACTTCTTTTTTACAAAATAAAAATATGAAATAATTAATAGTTTAAACATTAAAAAAAACGCTTGTAATTAGAATTTGGGTTATTAGTAGCTGACAAGATACCATCTCGTGATCAAAGACAGGACTACCGTCAGTTACAGACGAACAATCAGACAGACAAGCAAACATACAAGCTTATAGAAGCGGGTTAATAATTATTAATGTTTATTTACAAATATTACAAGTATACCTAGAAACGACTTTACCCTCCACTCCAGCGCATGAATCCTGAGCCCAATTTGTGCATTGGCCACATTGAATCCATGATTCGACTGAATCAGAGTATAATTTCCTACAGAAAATACAAGCTGTATCGTCCACAGACTTCTTCGATTTTTCCTTTCCCTTTCCCTTCCCTTTGATTGATCTGACCAGTATTTTTATCTTGGGTTGGTGTTTTTTGCCCACAAGTGTCTGCCGATATGGTGAGCTCGTAAGAACTGCTGTACTTTTACGCCGTGAATTGCTATGAGTCGTAGGGTTTTCCATCAAAGGAAAAATAGTTCGAGGTGAAATATTAAAACCATCCAACTTTCTTTTCTTCTCTGGTTCCTCATCCGAATCTGGAAAATCTTGACCTTCATAAGCTTCAAGAAGAAATTGCTGCTCATATTCGTCAGCAGTCATTCTTGAAGAATGAGCCACGATTTTTTCATTTTGTTGTTGCTCATCTTCTTCGATATTTTTCCCATCTAAATGAGTGTGAGAATTATCTATCTCGTCTGCCATTACTGAGATTGAACTAAAACTTTGACTAAGGCGCTGCATTCCAAGCCCACAACCACCGTCATCTTCATCGTCATCATCCGCATCGTTAGCACCATCGTCATCAGAATCATTGGTCATTTCATCGGCGACATTAACTTGTTCTATTGCAGTGCTAGTAGCAGTAGACGCATTGCTTGATGAAATCTTGGGAGTTGATGTACCAGCAGCTACAAAAGCTTCATCTGAATATACTGATCTGTTAAACGGCCAGATTCCAGTTTTCTTGAAGATATTTTTGATAGTTTCGGATTTTGCAGCAGACTTAAAAGCTTCACCATAGATTCGAGGTATATCGTTAGCCGTTACAACACGACCAGGGTGCTCCCTCAACCACTTTTTAACAGCATCAGAGTAAGCTATCGAAGCTGGTCGCATAACACTTACATCGAGAGGTTGAAGCCGATGCGTGCAGTGTGGAGGTAAGCACAGCATGATAACGTGATGTTTTCTGACATAATCTATAACTTCTAAATTTTGTGTATGTGTCGTGTGTCCATCTCAGATTAACAAAACTGGCTTTTCTTTTGTTGGTTTGACAGTTTTAACAAACCAAATAAACCATTTAAAAAATATTTCCTGAGTTACCCAACCACTAGAATGACATTGAGCCCAACAATCATCAAGGAGTATTTCAGATAGTCGAGCAGGCAGCTTTTTCCGAGGAAGTACAAACATCAGAGGTAACAAAGTACCAGCAGCCGATACACATATCTCTGTCGTGACTAACTGTCCTCGTTCTGCTGAAGTTAGAACACCAACTTGCTTCTTTCCTTTAGGTGCTATAATCTTCGATTGGTGCTTAGGAACTGTTGTGACCCCGGTTTCGTCAACATTAAATACTCGGTCTGGTGATAAATTAATTATTGCCTCTAATAGATCATAAAAATTGTTCGTTGCAATCTTATTAAAACCAATAGCACGATATTTAGATGTAGATTGTGGCTTGCGTATCGATAAACTTTGGCATGTCGTTTGAGAAAAGCTCGGCACCAATCACGACCAGCCATACCATTTCGGAAAGGATGATCAATACCATTTTTTTCAGCTAGTTGATATGCCAATACACACAACTCTCTGGTGGTTAATCCAGACAGGCGACTTTCTTGCTCTTAGATATTTTACCAAATCTTCTTCTTGCTTCGGACTAAAAACAGTTTCATATCTTCCCAAACCTGCCATTGATAAGTAAAAATAGAAATTAATTAAAATAAACACTGAATAAATAAATTATAGGTAATTCTGAAAACAGCAAAATTTATCTTATTACGTTTGACAATACTCATTTCTAAATTAGAATTGACTTTATAAATTTTAATTCGGCGTTGCAGAGTCGATCGAGGGACGTTGTAAGCTTTAGCAGCGGCTTTCAGACCCACATTTCCATCTACAACTTCAGTTATAGCTTTAGCCATAGAAATTTCACTTCATTCCTGATGTCCACTTTTTTTTATATAATTCCGCACCATCTCGATAAATGCGTGTATAATAATATTTTTTTTTAATTAAACAGCTCTGCACTCGTATAAATGTGAAATGTTTACAACAATGACGGGTCTTCCAGGTTAAGTTCAACAGCTGATGGGTTTCGGAGGATATTTCAGTGCGCATGCGTGGCAATTTTAAAAAGACTTACGCGTACGCAGTACGCCTCGATAAATTTTTTTAGGCGCGAAAACAACATTTGAAAATGTGTGCATGTTCAAAAGTTTTATGGGTGGGGGCCCACTTTGCCCCATATTCTGAATTTTTTTATTTTGATAGACACGGCTTATTAATATTGAATACTGAACAAGGATGTAAAAAATAGTGTAACGGGTGAAAAAAGGTAAACAAATCCCCTTTTTTCGCTTTTGGGGCCCACTTTGCCCCCCACTTCCCCTATATACACCCTTGTCAGAATGATACTTTCGCGAAGACATTATTGTACTCTGAGGTTCCCCGTTATTATAGAAGGGACACATCAAAAAAACAATGGCAACGTCGTATTCGAGGTACACCTGTCGAAAATCAACCTGGGGTTAATGCATCTGATGTAGGGCTATACAAATTAGCCGGCCAAGCCGGTTAAGGAAGTTAACCAGGCTAATTAGCTGGCTAACTACTCGGCTTAGCCGGTTAACCGAAATTAGCTAGGCTAATCAGCTAAAGGCTAAACCGGCCAATTGGCTAATTTTATATTTTATACAATATCTGTTCGGGCCAAGTCCGACAAACGTATTGATAACGCGGCGAATTGTTATAACTTGCATTTGGAAACAAAGATATTGTATAAAATATAAAATTAGCCAATTGGCCGGTTTAGCCTTTAGCTGATTAGCCTGGCTAATTTCGGTTAACCGGCTAAGCCGAGTAGTCAGCCAGCTAATTAGCCTGGTTAACTTCCTTAACCGGCTTGGCCGGCTAATTTGTACAGCCCTAATCTGATGCTCTTGTTCGTGTCTATACCGTGCGCGTCACAAATTTCGAATGCTTTTGCCAGCGTATGTCATTGCATCATGTTGGAGGTCCAACTAGCTTTACAGAACTTAAAATTGTTAAAGGTCAGAGATGTCAAACATATAGAGAAGCATGTGAGGCCCTACGATTGTTAGAAAATGATAACCATTGGGACGAAACTATGGAGGAAGCCTGCAATGCCGATTGCCAGATAGAATAAGGGAACTTTACGCTACACTTTTATCTTCTTGCGGTCTTTCTAATCCTCAAACTCTTTGGGATAAATACAAAGAATACATGGCTGAAGAGATTTTACATCAACTTCGGCAAGTGCATACAGATATGACTTTCAAAGAACCTATTTACAACCAAACGCTAATTTTAATTGAAAACCAGGTTTTTAGAATGGTTGAAAAAAAAATTAGATGATTTTGGGATGCCCTCGAAAAGATAGTGAAGATGATTTTAACAATGAAATTGCTCGAGAGCTAAATTATGATTTCATAGCACTGCAGCAACAAGTGGAAGAACTAATCCCTCTATTACTTACAGAGCAAGCTCATGTTTTCCGTCAAGTATTACGTAGAATAGAATCTGGCAAGGGTGGAGTCTTTTTCCTCGACGCACCAGGAGGAACTGGGAAAACATTTTTGCTCAACTTATTATTAATGTACATCAGAAAATAAGCAGAGAGCAGTTGCAGTAGCTTCTTCGGGTATTGCCGCAACGCTTTTAAATGGCGGCCATACGGCTCATTCCGTTTTAAAATTACCATTGAATATTGCAAAAGAAGATTCCCCCATCTGTAATTTCAGTAAAAATAGCTCTCGAGGTAGGATGTTGAGGGAATGTAAGCTTTTAGTGTGGGATGAATGCACAATGTCTCACAAAAAGGCTATAGAAGCTTTAAATAGGACTCTTCAGGACCTGCGAGATAGTATAGATATAATGGGAGGAATGGTAGTTTTATTGGCTGGCGATTTTCGTCAAACTCTTCTGGTTATTCAGAGAGGAACACCAGCAGATGAAATTCAAGCATGCCTGAAATCATCAAACTTATGGTCGAAAGTTGAAAAACTCAGTTTGAAAACAAACATGAGAGTGCATCTTCATAATGATCTGGATTCGGGACTTTATGCGGAAACGTTATTGAAAATTGGAGATGGTCGTTTAGATGTTGATGCTGAAGGTTATGTATCACTTTCAGGAGAATTTTGTAAGCTCATGTTTTTCCCCAATTGCAACAAAATTTGAATAGTGATCAGTGGCTGTGCGCAAGAGCAATATTAGCACCAAAAAATGAAGTGGTTAATAGAATCAACAATGACATTTTAAAATAGGTGGAAGGGGAAATGATGGAATATTTGTCGATGGATACAATTATTATGGATTCAGAATAAAGTACCTCATACCCTGTGGAGTTTTTAAATTCACTTAAACTGTCGAATGTACCCTCACATAAGCTTCAATTGAAACTAAATGTTCCAGTAATGCTTATGCGAAATTTAAATGCTCCTCTGCTATGTAACGGAACAGGACTTCGTATAACAAATTTGGGACAAAATATTCTTGGTGTTACTATTTTAACAGGTGTCGGTAAAGGAAAAAGTGTCATTATACCTCGGATTCCAATTATTCCCACTGACCTTCCATTCCAATTCAAAAGAGTTCGCAAAAACTACTTAACTGATCATCATGAAAATTTGATCACATATTCTTAGTGGTCCCCGAAAGGTGATAGGCTACTTTTTATTTAATAAAAAGATTATTTTTTAAATAAAATAAAGAAATTGTTTAGTCAATAATACACCTCTGCGTTTGGTTATTTGACTACTTTAACGCCATCTAGCATTCCAGCAATGAAGCTCAAACCTAAGTACTATAGTACCATCACACTGTATTACCGACAGCTACGTCAACATCAAATCCAATTGACTACACTATGGAGATTGTACACTATACTTCCATAGACTATACTTTCAGCCATTTTAAACTTCCCGCCATTCTACTTCATTGTTACTTCTTCTGTGACTACAGACGCGTACGGAAGCAACTTCATTGATTTCTAATATTTATTTGATGGATTCAACGCGTGCGAAACCGCGGGGTAAAGCTAGTTATTAATAATTATAATTATTATAATGATGATGAGGCCTTCAGAACCTGTCTCCTATTGAATTATCAAATGTTTTTGACTGGATATTAACCATCTTTTTATATAATTTTTTATTGTTTTAACTGTTTTAGTCAACAGAAGCATGTTTTTTGTTTCATTCGGCAACAAGTTGAAAAATTTGATCGCAGTATTTAATGGACTGTTGTGGTACTTAGACTTGGTTATTTTGGGCCCCTGTATACTTTTGTGCCTTCATTTTCCTTTGTAGCTATTATACTTTTGTGCGCAAATATTAGAGTATTTAATTAAACTACATAGTACAAATTGTTGTTTGATGTTTATTATTAGGCTATGTCTTATTCTTATTTAATTTAAGACCAGCGACCCGCCCCGGCTTCGCACGGGTGCAATGCTGATACTAAATACACTACAGAAAAACTGTGAACGTTGTATATAAAAACATAGCGGCCCGCTCCGGCTTCGCACGGGTATAAAATATATAGCCTATGTGATTAAAATCGATTCAGTAGTTTTGATTTATTCATTTCTGCCCGTGGCCCGCACGCGTTAAATTTGGAGTAAAACAATCCCCCTTTCCCTATACCATGAAGATTTCCTGCTATCTTTGGAATATCTAAATTCATACACTACTTTTTTTACTTATTTACTTTTTACATTTTTAACTATTTATTTTATTTTTACAACATATTACAGAATGTCTTTATAAACAACGTTCACAGCTTTCTTGTCATTAGACAATACAAACATGTTTTCTCTGAAGGTCACTCTTGAAAGAGCGACATACAGTTGTCCATGTGAAAAATAGTCATTGCTCCAATCTAAGCCTGCAACGTTGAAGGTTTGACCCTGCGATTTATTAATGGTCCTTGCAAAAGATGTCTTTACCGGAAACTGCAAACGTTTAAATTGGAAGGGTAAATCCGATGGTATCAGAGGGATTCGGGGAATCAATACATCTTCTCCGGTACCACATTATTATGAACGTTTTCAATGATTTTACCAGCAAACGCGTGCCATTGCAAAGTTTAGGTGGATTCAGGTTTCTTAATAAAATAACAGGACAACCTACTTTCAGCACCATTTTGTGAGGAGGGAGTCCAGACGGGTTCAAAGAGTTTAGAAATTCTGTAGGAAAATGAACAGCTTCTTCCAAATCGAGAACAGTATCGAGAGAGTAGTATATTTTCGTCGGCGTATCAATCTTTGAAAGAATCATGTTTTTTACTTTATCTACTTGTTCGTTAGTAGGTGACAGAATCGCTCTTTCTTTAAACCAAGATATTGTCTTATAACTTATGTTATCAATGTCAGGATAGAAATTGTTGACCAACTCTTGGATGTTGTCTATCCAAACGCCAAGGTTTTCTAGGTCAATCCTTCCCTCACTTTGTGTTAACCCTCCATTGCCAACTTTTAGCAGCATCTCTGGAAATAGCCTGTACTCACGTGAAGATGGCGAAACCCTCATATTAGTTTTAAGCTCTAATTTATTGACATGTGGCCAAAGGTTGGATCTTTTTAGGCAAGCATTTATTTCGTCAGCGCGTGTTCCTCGAGTCACAACTGGTAGGATTTGACGGAAATCTCCTGAGAACAGAATTGCACATCCACGCATAGGTGAATTTTTGTTGCGCAAATCGCGCATTGTCCTATCCAGTGCTTCCACACACGTCTTGTTTGACATGGTAGCTTCGAGCAGTCACGCATCAATTTTCCTGTATTGCTCTTATTAGAAACACTACAGACGCTGTTATTATCATCGGTGGCGATTTTCAGCGGGAGCTTGAATGTGGAGTGTGCGGTTCGGCCACCTTCCAAAAGCGTAGCGGCAATGCCGGATGACGCAACAGCTAACGCAATTTTTCCGATAGATCTCACTTTTTTAAAAGCAGATTGATTAAAAATGTTTTTCCTGTACCTCCTGGGGCATCAAGGAAAAACAATTTCCCTTCATTGTTATCAATTGTTGATAGTAATGCAGTGAATACTTTTTTCTGATCGATGTTTAATCGTGGCTCTTCTTGAGCTATATTTTGTAAAAGTCTCGTTTGATCGCATGATGTTTCTCTTGTGTATTCGGTACTGTTAGTTAAATCTGAGTTAGTAGTTGTTGCGCAGGGTGAATTTTAATAAGAATAGAGAGTTTATTATCTAAACGCCAATAACAATCCAGTGTTGCTTGATATTACATAGAACAGAACTACCCTTGACAAAGTAACGAACTTAACTAACTGTCTACTAAAGACCATGTGTTTGGAAAGACACTCAGCCACTTGGGGTGGGATGCGCAACGCCACTTGAGAAAGAGCGCAAAACTCAACAGTAGTATTAGCTGGCATCGTCAGCCCAAAATCCTTGATCGATTTACCCGAAAGTAATTGCACTACTTTGTTCAATTCCAATCAATCTTCGTCAAATATGTTTTGATCATATTGTACATAATCTGAGTTTAACTCTAGCCGTCGCCGAATCAGAACATCACTGGCCATATCTTCTTGAAATTTATTCCATAGATTAACAGAATCAGTTACTTGGCAAAACACTACTAGGACGGCAAATAAATATCTTAATGATGTAGCTGAACTACAAACAGCTGCTTCTGATAATGTGTTTTCCCAGTGAGAATCGTCTTCCAAGAGCCCCATAGCTTTGCATGCTGCTTGATAAGTATTGTAAACAACACCTTGTACAGTTCTTAGGTGTGCAAAGGATGTCGGACCTTTTGCAATATGCAGTAACATTCTCAGATAAAAGCATTCGCTGTTATTGGGATGAACCACGTAGATTCTGCCAAGAGCATCCGTTTTTTTTTACTCCGGGGAAACCATCAACCGCAGTACCTTGTTTTCGTCGTTGAAAAGTTTTAGAACTCTGGTTCCATGTATAGTGACCTGGAACTTTGTCATAGTTTGTCAGTGTTTCTTATAGTTTGTCAGTGTTTTCGCGAAATCATCTTGAGCACATAACTTGAAGAATGCTGTCAATTTTGTATCCCGCGGGTTATTAACAACTTCTTGTATATTGTTCTCTGTAAAATATACTCTTTGTCCATTTTCTAAATGAACTGCAATTGTAGGAGCCCGGTCGTGCACTTCGAATGATAAAATGCTCCATACAGCTTCAGAGCTGCAGATGTAACTTCCAGACTGATATTTTTCCACTTCATTTGGTGGCTTGATCACTGCCTTTATTTATGTACTTAGTAACATATTGAATTGACTTTATCGAATTGCACAACTCTACGTTGATGTGGGCATCAAAAATTTTCAAAAAGAGCGGATTATAGGGAACAATCCATCGGTTATCAATATCATGGTTTCGGACGGTAGCATTTTGCCCACCCTGTTCTGGCAATCGTCGACGATATTTGGGATATCCGTCATCGCTAGTACTTGTTTGAGTTTGGAACGACTTCGGATATTTTTTGCTGCATTTAGAATCTCGCATACATGGAGAATTCGGGTTTAAAGTCCCGCAAGGGCCGTGTACCATACGTTTCTTTACGATTTCGTACAGGATAGGATCTTCATCTTTATCCGGTAATTTAGCTGAAATAACCCTGTCAATTTGGTTTGATCTAATTTTGGTCACTAACCACACCAACAGGTGTACAAGTGGCAAGCCACGTTTCTGCCATTCTATTGTGTACATATGACAGCGCGGCGGACCGAATATATGAGACTTGTTAATGAGGTGCAGGAGTTTCTGTACTTTTAAATGGAAGACTCTGTTAACTATATCGTACCTGTCTTGTGGAGTTAAATTGGTGTAAATATTTTCTTTGATTTCCGGCCAATTTGGGTTACATGTTGCAGTTATAAATAAATCAGGCGTCTTGCGATTTTTCGTGTAAATATCGAGGTCCACCTGTGAATGATGAAGGTAGTATAACCAACTGCCCAATGCCGTTGCGGTGTTCATTCGCCTGTAAAGCATCCTGAAGATGAACGTAATTTTCAGCTCTCCATTTAGTTTGATTATTACGGATGTAGGCCAATCTCTCAGATTCAATTTTCGCTTATTGATCTACCAAGTATTGGTTTGTTAACATTCCATATCTAAGTATTGAAATTGTTACGTCTTTTCATTATACGGTAGCAAAAGTAGTTCATACATGGCACTGTTTTATGCAGAGGTGTACCACCGATTGGGTTAACTTGAGAAATATTAATGGCATAACCATTTTCTCCACGACATAGCATCAAAGGATATTGTAAGCTGTCACAAGATCTGTGTAACTCTGAATTTTTTTGCAAATTATCATCACGACTATGTAATACAATATCTCTTTTGTCAAATTGCTGTCTAGCTATTACCACTGCTACTTCACTCGTGGAAGGCGCATTGTATCGTCCTCTGTGTTCTCCAACAAGAACTTTATTTGCATGGATTACGACATTAAAGTCAGGAGTATCTGCTGGAACAGTCTCAATCGCAGTTTTGAAAGACTGTCTGTAGCAATTATGAGAATGTAACATATCTTGGAGAGATCTTGTCAAATCTCTATCAATTGGCTGTGCAACACTTGTACACCGCGTAGATGCTTGTGTATCTGGATCTGCAATAAAATATATTTGCTGAAATTTGTGATCATCGGGTCAAAGTGGTAGCAAGCTCCCAGCTAAGAGGTACACTTGCCCTTGAATTTTAAATGTAGGCATGAACCCACGCTCAAGGACTTGCTTACTCTTAAAAGAGGTAATTTAAAATGCGTTATTATAACGGCGTATATTGCGCATGAATTGCTTGGATTTCTGATGATCACCCGTAAGAAGGGAGTGAAGTGGTTCAGGTGGAGGGAGAACTTCTTCTGATTTGACTTTTCCTTGTAAGCAACACATGCCTTTCGATTCGTCCTTGAATTTCAATGCCAAGCAATGTTCTCACACTACTGACATTGCGGTGAACCTCACGCTCTACTGAAGATTCTCTCTCTCTCTCTCTCAGCTCTATATCTATCCCGAAGCTGACTGAGGCGAGCCTCACGTTCCGTTGACGATTCTTCATCTCTTGCTGAACGTACTCTTCTGGCATTCACTGGTCTACGTTCTATGCTCATTTCTATATGTATGATTACCTATACACAAATTGCCATATTATCCAGTTAACTGTGGCGCCGTCCGGTAAGAGTGTGCACGAAAAACCGTCGATGACGGGTATACCTACTCGTCAAACACAGAGTATGTGTGATTGTTGAAATTTCGACTCAAACTGGCTCTTTTTATATATTTTAATTTTATAATAAATATAAATAAAATAAATATATTATATAAACTAAATATAAATTTATTTTAAAATGGTTTACAAAAGTATTTAATGTTTGTTACAGTGTGGTATATACGGAAGCAAGAGGAAACACATAATGCTACTTTACAAGTCGGACACCAATACCGCGATTCCTTTCTAATTTTTTTTTTGGTAACAAAGTACACGTGTAGGATAAATTTTTTTTGAACATCCAGGAATATAATCCGGAAAATGTTTGTCCAACAAACGTGTTACACAGCTATTTGTAACAGTGGGCTGAGTTTTGCGGAATTAGGCGAAGTATAGGATAGTTCGCAATTGCATCGTCAGCTATGCTTCAGTAAAGAAGGAATTTGTGCGATTCCAATTTTCCCGCATCGCGTTTCCTACAAAATTAAAAGCAGGAGATTAGCCAAGATATTTTTTATAATATTTTTAGCCTTTTCCCCTTGCGGTTGAATGAGCAGCGATTTCCCCTGCACCATCGCTCGCCCATCTACTCCCACCCATTTTGCCAGTTGAAATCAGCAACTAATTCGGGCATGTTTTAATTATATTTCCTTTTTACTTCAGCTTGGTGTTGTTGTGTGCACACTACATATCATAAAAATTTCCCTCTTATCGTTATTTTGTTTTTATATCTAGAAATAAACTCTCCTCTTTTTGTATATGCTTCAATTACAGATGAGCAAAGGCCTTTTATATTGTGCCAACAACATCAGTTTTGTGTTCGCGCAATTTTTTCTGCAAAGTGGAAGACTGAAATTTGTACCAATTGTTTAAGTACAATCTGTATCCGCGTTATTAGTTCATCACATAATTGCAGAACTATTCGTGAACTAATGCTGTACTGTAAATATCGTAACAATCTTTCTTGATGAAGTTGTGATATTGCAATTTTCATTATTTTCCAAGTATAAAAGTTTGCCTTACTTGGCAAAAATCTGTCACATAAAAGATTTTTTGCCAAAAAATGAATTTGTATAGATGCTTTCCCGTTTTGAGAAAAATACATGGAGTGTGGAGTTTTATAATGCCTTGCAAAACTAACATCGCGATAAAGGTCTGATTTCATTACTTGTTATTTTGCATACCATTTTTCGCATTTGTAGGCGTGGCATCAGAATTTTGATTTATTTCGCAAAAAGAAATTGTTCTGCATACATGTTTGTTTCTTTTACTATAATGCCGATAAGTTCTTCGTCTAAATATTTGTCCATGTAAAAGTTACAATAGGCATGATGACAGTAACAAAGAATCACTAAAAAGAAGATTTATATTAAAAATATACAGTAGTGAGATTCTAAAAAAAAACTCTTCCTTTAGATTAAAAGTGCGATTAAATTGATTTTAGTAAAAATAAAAGTGCAAAATGAGTCAATCCGCCCTATTAGGTGAAACGCCAATCAGAAAGGTGTGACGTCACGGTTTTGTAAACATCATTTTATCATTAGTAAATAAATCGTTCGAACTCGTTCTTAAACAGTTAACAAATCAGTGGAAAGAAAAAGTATATCCAGTGTTGTATGAAAGTACATTGTAATATGTAAATAAAATGCACAAATTATAATTTTATAGATTTATTTAATAAGAGAGTCTTGTAAATTTATAAGAGCACATGCAATCACAATAACTTCATCAAGTGCTTTAACAAGATGTAAATTTACACATGCATGGGGTTTTAACATATTGCCATCACACACATACCAGGCTGTAGATACCTGATAAAATCACATGATTCAACCAAGCTTGTATCAGTTACTCTTCCTCCATAGCCTGGTGAAATATAATTCACCAAACCATTTGGTGTACAAGACACTAGATATTTGATGGTATTCGCCTTTTTTGTAATCGGACCATGATAGAGCTTGGTTAACACTTTTTGAAGGCCTTTGTATTTCGATTTCTAAACAGTCTATTATGCAACTTGTATGGTGAAATTTGTGTCTAAAAGCCATGGGCAAAGTCTGTTTTATTAAATCTTTATTAAGCGGCACAATAAATGGTCCCATTACACTGGCTAGTATTGGTATATTTTTAAAAAATATTTTACTTGCGTATGTAGTGTTCATAGAAAGATCATCAGCAAGTTGTTTAAAGGGACTATTTAATCTAATTTTCTCTAAACATAGCAAACTATGGTTAGTGGGGATTTTTGTCTGTTCTTCAATTAAATCAATAAAATAAGAACAGCTTTTAGGTAGACCTATGTATGAACGTGGGTTTCTCATTATTTTAAGTAATGTATATTTTAGAATATCAGATACTTCGTCTGCCTTTGTCTCTTCAACTAATTCACTGCAGTCTGAAGTGGATTTCACTTGAAGAGATTGTATTGATGGTGATAATGATTCAGTTACAGATGGTGTATATGAAACATCACTGTCCAATTGATCTTTTACAATAAACAATCTCTTTGAAGTTTTAAATAGGTCTTGTGCTTGCTTTAGTAGTGCCACAACTATCAATTTTAAATGGAGAAGTAGAGATAGAACAGCAATCGGGTTTCATTGGTGATGTCAACTGGTTTACTAATTTCATTTCTGTCTGGACTGCTTTGCTTCTAAATTTTTTTCCAATGTATACTTGTACTGATTTATCAACCAATTTCGGCCGGGTTTTAGGCTCTTCTTGATGCTCTTCGATTGTGTGCAAAACTGAATGATCAGATGAACTGCCAGCGACTTCTAAACAAATTGTCGGTGTACTTTCCTCAGCTAAACCTTTTACACTATCTTCAATTAATATTTTCCGTTGCTTTTTAAGAACATAAGGACGCTCTGTTGAAGTTCGTTTTCTTCTGTCTGGTTGGCATTCAAATCTTGTGGGAGTACACCCTGACCTCATACGGACTTGTGAAACTGAACCCATCACATGATATTCCATATAATTTTCCATATCATTTGGTAACTGGAACAAAGTATTGTTAATCTCGACATTATAATTACTAGACTGAACACTATAACGATAGTAAATAAATCAAATACTTACATCAAAATGGTCTTCACAGAAATAAAGTACTGAATTTGGCGATATAATAACTGGGTCTCGCCTTGCAAGATTTAGCCATGTATTTCTCACTTTTTTAGTTATTGGAACATTAATGAACAACTTATTCGGAGTCTTTATCGATGTATTATTACATTGAGGAACCGCACACCATCGATACACGTTAGAATTCATCATTATAGCTCAAAATAATTAAATAATATAGAAAAATAAACTGATTAACATGCCAAGTGTCAAGTGTTTACGAAAGCGTGACGTCACACACAGACGCCATTACTATTCTAGTGTTTAATTTTTTCCAGAAATAAAATTTATTTCGACTATTTTAAATGCCTAAAAATATCGTGGAGTAGTTTTTCAAAATTAGTCATCATGCCTATTGTGTTTTCCTGATGCTATATTCCGCGAGCCATAATTGCCAAAATATTCAAATAGCTGTCTGCCTTTGTCTCCGCTACTCTGCCAATCTGCATTTGAATTTTGGATTTCTTCGTCGCTTTCAACATCAGTGTCAGAATCAGATTCAGAAACAGATTCCATTTCACTCTCTGAATTGATGTTTTCATTCTCATCTTCTGAGGACGATGAATTTATTTGCGCTTCCTGGTACAAAGTCATCATCACTATAATCGTTTTCCATTTTGGGTATAAATACTAAAAATATGAATAGGAATTTATATATTTTATTGGGTTGCTTTCAATTATGGCAATAAAGAACATGAAATACTTACATTACGATTCTTCACTGTATTGAAATGATCAAAGACTATGAATTTTTGTTTTCAACATGTAATCTTTCAATTTGAAATTTCGCTAGTACACACTCCTAACCACGCTAAACATGCGTAGACTGCTGGAGCGTATATATGCGCTATCATGACTACGTCTCAAAATTAATCACCAAACTTTTTGCACCCTGTACCTTTATCTGCAACCCCAATTTATGTTATCTATCACGCAATTATTCAATACTATATGCATTATTATGAAAATTCTGAAATTACAAAACAATTTTTAAATTTAATATTGAATTGTAACAAAATTTTATACATGACGAGTATACTCGTCACAACACAAAATTTTGCCATGTCTTCATGACGAGTATACTCGGCAAACACAGTTAACTGGTTATTAGTATGTGCCGCAGTAAAAAATATCTAAATTCTTACCATTTAGAAACAAAAGATACTCAACAATCATAAAAAAACAAAAGATACCTATTCTATTCAGTTATTTTTTTTACTGAAATACCTCTTTTACTATTACCTAAGTATTGCTATTTTCCTCGCTGGAGAGCTCCGATATAATAAACGCGTCCGATCGCTGCTAAATTCAAAGTGCTATAGGGAAAACCGCGGCCTCAGACGCGCTATTTATAGGCACGCTCTTGCCGCACCGGGCGGCCGGCCGGTACCCCCGCAAACGCTACGTCCCGCAATTTTTAAATCTGTAATTGTAATATCTTCGAAAATATTCACTTAAATCATACGGTGTAAAGGGCCATATAGTCTATATTAGTGATGTGCCAACTCGGAAAAAACAAAACTCGATTTAACCCGAGTTAAAATCTACGTACCTAACTCGGGTTGAACTCGAATTACGTAACTCGAGTTAACTGGATGGACAAGTAAATGTTTTTTTTTGAGTCTTACTATATTATTGATATTTACTATCAATTAAACTATGAAATTATATAGTAGTCTTTTTAAAATAAAATCAGACTAACATTATGATGCAAGTATGTACATAGGTACATTTACAGGCTCATAATTGTTTTGTAATCAGTAATCACAATATTTTCAAAAAATTAAGATAATTAGTATTACAAAGAATATTTTTTCCTTAGTTAAATTATATGCTTATATTTTTGTCTTAAATATATCGTAGGTACTAGGTACTATAAAGGAAAATGTCAAATTATTTTAAAACAAAAAGAAAAATATTTTCCCGGCAATTAACTAACAATTAGTTATTGACAAAAAACATAAAAATCTTATGAAAAAAACTAAAATAAACTTATAAGTTTTAACAAAAATGATACTCTTTTTTTTTAATTGAAGTTAAATAAAACATAAAATAACAAAATATTGTTAAAGTACTTCAAAATAAACAATCATGGAATACTGATGAGAAAAAAGATTTTGTCAATCTATTTTGGTGCTAGACGGACTGACGATGCTGGTATACAAAGATATTTTTGGGCAATTTCGGACAACCGCGGAAATAAACATTTCTTGTCATTCCAAAACTGAAGTGGATCGCATTTTCTGTCAAGATATGGGTAATTCAATATATTGTTTAACCATCATAGCTGCAGAAGTGTATGGAGTTAGGTGAGCACTCCATGAGTTTTTTATCAACAGCTCCCCAAATGTCGTCTCTATCCGAAGCAGCAACAATGGAAGTACTTGGGCTATTTGGGCTAGATGAAGGTAGAACTTGATCGGTGCTCATGTTTGATAACTCATTGATTACCCACATTTGCCCATTATTGGCATTACTTTCTAACCTAAAACCTTTTTTTTAAACGTGGGTCAAGGAAGGTGGCAAGCCGTTTTTCTATTACTGCAGAAAGACTTCGTTTTAAATGCTGGCACAAGAGGAATAACAGAAGACAAACTTGGATATTTTTCTCCTGATAAAATCACAGTAACATTTTCGAAAGGGCGTAAAAGTGTCACCATGTCTTCTGTTATTATCCATTCATTGGAATCCAGATTTGGCGGAGATGTGTCTATCTGTGGCAAAGTAGCAGAAAGAGGTATTTTAACCACTAATAGACGTTCAAGCATATAAAAAATACTATTCCATCGAGTCCGAACTTCTTGCTTAAGTTTCAATGTATTTACATTTAGTTGCTCTTGCATTTTGAGTAAGGCACAAGTAGCTTTTGTGCTATGTTTATAATGCGAAACAATTTCTCGACATTTTCCCAAAAGTTGTTGTAGCTGACAGAAGTGTTTCCTGCTAAATCAAAAGGTTTCTTTAGAAGATACTAAAGGACTTTTCTCCGTCTCTTCTTTGTGCGATGCATCGTAACTTCCCCACTCAACATGCCGCGACAAAAACGATCAAATCTTACCCGACAAACTCGAAGGATTGCGAATGAAAGGACTGAAGAAAAACAACAAATAGCACGTGAAAACCGCTGTGTTAGTATGGCTCGACTTCGTGCTTCTCAATCCAAAGAGCAAAGGGAGGCTGCCCGTGATACGGCTCGAGTGGCAATGGGAAATCGTCGAGTAAATCTCAGAGATCAACAACTAGATAATTTTCGACGCACAAGCTGAAATGTATCAAGTACTGATTTGAATCGAGCAGCGTTTCGATATGATTGCAGCACTGATTACTGCTTGCATACTAGCGTTCGCATTGGGCCAATGGACGTTGTTTGCGAGTATTGTGGCGCATTGAAGTTTATCGGAGAAATGCCAGGGTTGTGCTGCCTTAGTGGGAAAGTGAAACTACCATTATTGACTCCACCACCTGAGCCATTGCATTCATTGCTTCGTGGCGAAACCCCCGAATCACGACATTTTCTTGCAAACACACAAACATACAATGGTTGTTTCCAAATGACTTATTTGGGGCAGATTCCAAGAACAAGGATTTAATCCGACATTCAAGGTATTTATTTGTTTATACAGTAGAAGAAGAACATAAAATACTTATTCCTATGTATTATATTTGATAATTATAAAAAAGTGTGTATAAAACTGTAATAATTACTGTACTTTTGATTTTGTAGATACAAGGACAGATTCACCATAGAATTGGATCATTGCAAGCTCTTGAAAATGCACAGGATAAATTTTTACAAATATACTTCATGGGCAACATGGAGGAACAACTTGATCGACGTCAAGAGATCAATGCGGCAATGAAAAGAGTAATTCTTCAAGATCTTCAACAATTACGAGTACTTCATGAACATCATGCATTGGTCAGATTGTTCAAGAATGCTTTGGAGCGCATGCCAAGTGATGACTACAAAGTCGTGATCAGAGCGGATAAACGACCGTCTGGAACACACGAACGCACATTTAACTCCAACAATAGATGAAGTTGCCATCCTGATAGTTGGTGAAAACTTGGAGTCACGGGATATTGTGCTTACACGTCGTGATACTGGGCAACTGCAACAAATATTATCTGAAACACATCGTTCATATGATACGTTGCAATACCCGCTGATATTTTGACAAGGAGAAGATGGATATTATTTTAATATTAAAATGAAAAATCCATTAAATGGTGAGTATTGATTTTAACATGACATACATGTTACAGTGTTTGGTTTTGGTTTCCAAGAAAAGACCAATTACACTGCTTATTATCAGAAAATAAGGAGTCGTATGAACAGACTTTAATATTAGGGGTTGTGTTAAAACTTTAACATTAAAAAATAATCATTTCTCTCTTGAATACATATAAGCCTTTTAGCAAACAAATACTATAAGCATGAAATCCTAGAAGAATCACCCTCCGCCAAATCCGCGATCAGACCACTAAATGACTCACAAAGTCACCGTTAGGGGTGGAGCCACGGGCTCCCCTCTCCACGACAAACTACTAGGGTGCCAGCCAACAACACGGACTCCCCTCGCCAGAACGAACTACTGGGGTGCCAGCAAAAACTACGGACTCCCCTCGCCAGGACGAACTACTGGTGTACCAGCCAACACTACGCACTCCCCTCGCAAGGATGAATGATTGGGGTACCAACTAACATTTTTCACGAACTCATCTCATTCCGTTTTGTGCCAGCATCACACGAACAGTACATCGGTACAGTATTCCATTTTACCCAAAATTACTGCTACAAGGTACGATGAACTACATCGGTACAGTATTTCAGTTCACCCAAAACTATTGCTACAAGGTATGAATAAACACATTACATTACGAACTCCACTTGATACTAACAGCCATCATGCGACTCATACCTAACCTCAATCGACCAAGGCTACGCTCATTAACGCTGTGTACATTTCTCTTTCTTTTTGCGAGTGCTTAACCGTCCGGTCAGGTTTTCGTTCAGACCCTCGTTCTGAACCGCCCCCGGGGTTAGGCCTCCACTGTTCGGGTAGTTCAGCCCCTCGTGCTGAGCTGCCCCTTGGGGTTCAAAAACTCCGTACTGGGTACACAGTGTTATTTTGGGTCTTTGGCTTAACTATCCGGTAAGGTTTTCGTTCAGACGCTCGTACTGAACCGCCCCCGGGTTAAGCCGACAACATTCTTGGTACGTTCAGTTCCTAGTGCTGAACTGGTGTTTAAGTTGGTG